AAACTGATGTGACTTATTAGTGACTTATTAGTGCTGCTGTTGTCAACAAAAGAGAGGCTTTATTGGCTCACTGCGGTTTTCTGCCATGACAACCACAAATATTAGTATTATGGTTATTGTTATTAAAGTTGTCATGAAACGGAAGTTGTGATAGCATTTTCTTCCCTATTGTGATGTACGCTGTAAATCATTTTTAACTTTAAAAAGTAAGTATAACCTGGTTGCCTTAAAATTTTACGTTTTTAAGTTTAAGTAAAATTGAGTGAATGAAGATTTGATTTGGTTTAATTAATAGAAACTCAAAATTGTATGTTATCTGAACCACATAAATTATCTTAAGTTGATTTGACAAAAGAAAAAAATTTGGGATAAATCATTTTTACAGTGTATATCCAAGTGAAATGGCTTATCGAACTATATATAGTTCGATATATTATCGAGAACATGGGCGGGACTTTTGTCTTTTTGGACTTTTGCGGGACTTTTTGGCTTTTGTCCAGTGGGAATTGGTTGGATCGTTGACGTTTGCTATTGCTGTGATATCATATGAGTAACATGTAAGAATACTGCGGAAAGGAAGATTTCCAGTGAAAAGCGATTTATATTCCATACTATATATTAAAAAATGAAAAATTTTGCGTGGGCCACTTCTGTGGAGTTTTTTTGTTGTTGTGATTTTTGTAACTTAATTTATAGAAAAGAGTAGCATTAACATACATACTGCTAAACGTTTGTTTGTGTTCTGCTGGGGATCTAGCAGGGTGACTAAAGTTTAATAGTTTAATAACCACAAAATAACTGCTTTCAACTATCAGGTTGGACCAATTTAAAAATAAAGGAGTGGATAAATTTTCACACACGTGTGTAAATCTATAAATAGTGCAGGGGTGTAAACACTCATCAGGGGAAGAGCATTGTGAGAAAGAGAGAGAGCTACATGCAGAATCATCACTCTGTCAGATTTGAATCTCAGCAAGTTTGCAGCAGGTGTTTCTGGGTATAATCACGCTGTACTTTGGTCTCTGTTTTCTCTGCAGGTGGGTGAGGGGGGATCTGGAAAACAGGTGCTCAAAAACACAGCTGGATGGGAACGGTCCACTCAGCTTGTGTGTGTGAGATCACATTGCAGTCATGTGGGAGTGTCACGCATACATCCACACAGCAATTTAGCCGGTGCTATATGTTTTAATACAGCGTGAATGGGTCAGAGCTCTATAGGATTGAACTAATATGACAGTTTAATTATGACCATGAGCCAACCGCTGTATATGAACACAAGACGCATGGCGCAACCCCTTCACCTCTCCTTTACGACAATATCCAGACAACATTCATTTTCACTTAAACGTGCTCATCTGATTTAGATCCCACACCTGCTGACACCGTACAGAATCCTAGTGAAAACAGATCACAGCAATAAGACTCAAATATAAAGGACACATATTTTTGTGGTTGCTAAGTGACACCGAAATTGCCTCGTAGCCTTCAGGTGAATGGTCTTCTCTCATATACCACGACAGAAATGTATTTGTTACGTTTTTATTTCACCTGTTGTGTTGTGGAACACGCTGTAGATGGAAACATTGTTATGTTTTTTTAATTATTATTATTGCGGAGACCCCCCCCCAAGCCCCCCCCCCCCCCCCCCAAAACAATAATACCATGGAAACCACAGTTTCTGCCTAAATTGTTATTATTTTTATAAAACTGCAGTAAATTCATATGGGATCTCTATCCAAAAGCTTTAAGAATCTAATATCAATTTTGTTTTTGTTTTTTTGCTTGTTCAATTTCTCTATGCAGTGGCTAATAACTAATTTACCAGTTTTAATATCTGGATTGTATAATCAGATCTACAGCACCAAAAGCTACAGGGCAAGTACTATAGATCTTCAGATATTAGATGCATTTATGAAAGCAAATTACATGTGCCTTGAAGATGTAATTCAAAACTTTAAAGAGAGAAACAGAGAGAATGGCTGATGCTTGAGTTCGTGTACGTGCGGTTTTCAGATCACGAAGTCTAATCAGTGAGTGAATTGAAGTGCCACAGGGTTGTAACATAACACCAGTGAATGGTTGCATCACTCAAATGAGCTCAGAGTCCTGTTTAAAAGACATGTTTGGAAAGATATAGTAAGAAATGTGTGCTTTTCGTACAATAGAAATCTAGTGTTAGGTGGAACAGAAACATATCAAGTACACAACACTAATTCTTGGCTTGCACATACTAAATGCACCGTCCTGTTGAATACTTCCTGTTACTCATGTGACTGTGGAGGAAACAGACATCCGTACTCTATAGGGGGCGATAGTCACATTCAAATATCTGTGCCATTAAACCAAATGTGTTATGATTCAGGTAGCTAACTATGAATATGTTCACAGTGTACAAACTGGCTTGTTGGTCCGCTAAGATAGTTGGCCAGAAAGAGAAAACTACGGAGGACCTAAAGGGACACCTCAAAAGGTTTTGCGTGCGTCGAGTGAACATGAAGTTTCTTGGGGGAACGCAAAACATTTGCGAAAGAACGCAAAAGCATTGACCTATTATTTTGCCTCCCGTCTCATATTGGCTGCATCCGAAAACTTAAAAATGCTGTCTTCGAAGGATGCGTTCCAAGGCATCAAGGCACGTCCCAATCCAATGTTAGCTTAAGATACCTTCATCTGATCTATTTTTGAAGGCTGCATGGATTTATCCTTTGCTGCCTTTGATATCCCACAATCCTGTGCGTTCCATTTGATGACAGCAGTTGAGCTAGAAAAAGAAAGATGGCGTCTAAAAGTTGCGGTTGCTGGTCAGTTTTTGTGTAAATGTACATTTTTGACCAATGTTTTTCGCTTCTGATGTGATTTCTAGTGAGAAACTACTACTGTAGTATTAAAATATTTGTTTAGTTCGCACCAAAGCTCACTCTATTTTGCTGTAGATCATTAAGTTTTCTGAAATCAGTTTCGTGAGGAACCTTAGTGCACAAACGCTGCCTGAAGAGGCATTGCCTATAAGGCAGCGAGGCAACAAGTCAGCTGCCTAAGTTTTCGGATGCAGACACTTTTTTTCCACCACCACCACGTTCCTTAAGGGGACATGTAGAAAACTAGCCTGACTTCGTCATACTCATATTCTAGTCAGAATGTGAGTCTGATACTGCTCCAAAGGGCTTTGATTATGAGGCGTGTCTTAACCGAACCAGGAAAAAAAAAAACTCTGTACTCAATTGGATAGACCTACAACCAATCAGAGCAACGTATAGTTGCTTAGCATAGTTTTTCAACAGAACTCAACTGCACGCACGCTGGAAGAAGTAGTAAAATAACAACATGGCATCATGACTTTGCGTAAACATACACGCCACTTTCAAGTCAAGTGGCGTGTTATCTATACGCATTTTGAGCTATCCGCGTGTATGTCCACGCAGAAACGAACCGTCATCTTTTGCGTGTATGTCTATGCCGTTAAATGTCTGAGTGATTCCGCGTGTATGTACACGCCATTAAATGTCCGAGCGAAACGAAGCAAAATGTAGATCTACATCTGGGGAGCTATATTATTTTTCCTAGGATGGTAGGGGAAGACTCATAAATGGTATTAACCCCAGTGACGGGTAGGTTTAGGGACGGGGTTGGGGTAGGTCATATATTTATATATACAGTAACAGTAATGTAACGTTAAGTCAACGGCGTTGATAAACACGCTGAAAAGCGATTATGCGTGTTGATAGCACGCCAAAAATGGAAATACGAATTGGCGTGTCATACATACGCCATTTCATGAGATCAGTCTGAAAATAATGAGTGTTGCTTCTTTTACTTGGTCCTCCATGAGTGCGAGTGTGCGACCAAAGGAAAAACCACAACGACCGCAGGGTTTTCATTGCGTCCCATCTTCTTATTGACCATCGGAGCCAGCTGATAAAATAAACTTTTGCCGAATCCCGTAGTAAGGACGGCAAACACATCTTTCCGATCGACAAATGCCTTGATTGCAGTTCTCTGTTCGTCTTTTAAAATGAATGCGCTGTCGATTTCTTCTAAAACAGACGCGATAGCGGAATCTATACATCTCAGTTCTCCAGCTGCAGTCATCTCTGAGGGAAACCAGTTCAACCCAAGCGCTCTTTAATAACGTGATGATTACGTAACTGCAGATCATCTGTCCATCATCGTATAAAGCCCGCCCTGGCAATTTGATTGGCCCGACTAATTTTGAACCGATCATAATTACTCCTCAATGGATCGAGTCCAGACCGAACTTCCCGACCAAAAAATGTTGTGGGCGGGGTTCGGGCTGGCATCCAGACTAGTAGAAAACTGACTGTAGAAGAAGACAGTTTACACTAATGCCTGTTATAGCGCCCCTAGTGGCGATGCTTCTTGAGTTGCACTATAATTCGCATTCTTACTCGTTTCAAATGACTGGTGAAACTGAGCTTTTAAGAGTTGTCTTAGATGTTTACATATGGGGAAACAACTGTGTTATACTGATATTTTTCATAATATTTTCGTTTGTGTTCCACAGAAGAAAAAAGTCATACAGGTTTGGAATAAATGATGACACATTTTTAATTTGATTAAACTAAAATTAAGTAATTCAGAATGGGTCCTGTATGGATTCTGTTTTGTTTTTGACACCACAGCCTTCTTTTAATCTCATCCAACCAGCAATTCTGACAAAGTGTTTTGTTTGAACATCATAAAAAGGTTGCCCTTTTGCAATAGCACATGACACACATTCACCTGTACACACACACGCCCACACCCACACGTACAGTAACCACACAGGTTTAAAGAAGGCACACGAATAAACATCAGCACGTATCACTGACTCAGATCAGTGAATGTATATGCTTAGCGCTCAAGTAAATGGGCGAGTGAGTTTAACAGTGAATGAGAGAGAGAGAGCCTATAATCAAGCACAGTTTAGCAGTGGGAAGGGTCACAGTGTGTGAGAGAGAGAGAGAGAGAGAGAGAGAGAGAGAGAGAGAGAGAGAGAGAGAGAGAGAGAGAGAGAGAGAGAGAGAGAGATCTCCCATGTGTGTTTATTCTCTTTACAGTGTAAGAAAGGCAGGCAACAGAGAAACAGGCCTGAATGATGAGCTCAAGAGGGATTTTTACAGATGGGATGCGGTCCCTGCAGCAGATGCCAACCCTGTGACTTTCTTTTCTAATGATCCTCTCTGATCTTTGACGTTCCCTGCTTTCCCAGTACGTTTTCCCACCTGAGGAGTGTGTTTCCAGAGTTTCTCTCCTCTCGCAGACGGACAGAGTAAACTGGAGAAGATGTCAGAGCTGAGCTCCAAAAAACAAGGATTTAAAAAATGCCGGAGTGCCACTTTCAGCATCGATGGCTACAGCTTCACCATTGGTAAGAACAGTTGATCAGGTATGTGTGTGTGGGTGGATGTGTGTGTTTCGATGGCCAGCACTGATTTTTTTTTTTCTGTGTGAGCGAGCATGGAGCTGCTACAAGTGCCTTTGGGATTTTAAAACCAAAAGTTATTTCTTAATAATAATAAACAGAAATATAAAGTTAAGAATAGTAATGATTATTATTATTAATTCATAATAACAGTAATCATCCTTATTATTGTTAGAAATTCTTTCTTAATAATAATTTATAAAAATATTACATTCTTAACAATAATAAAAAATATTATTGTTATTAATTATAAACAAAAATCATCATCATTTTTATAATACATCAATGTATTATTAATATTGTTGTTATTTTGAATTCATTTAATATAAAAAAAAAATGTTACAAAAAAGTTACCATTTTCAGAACAATGACTGCTATCCAGTATAGTAATGTTGTGTCTGTTTTGGGTCAGTTTGAGCAAAAACACATTGTAGAACATCCAATAAACAAAAATACAAATAGACCAAGCAAAACCTTAGCATGTGAAATCTGTGGCATTTAATCATGTTTTATTTTTGGGGGTCTCTTAAACCCCGAACATTTTTAAATGAAGAACATTTGAAGCGTGTTAACAAGTTTAAGTAACAGGTATCATCAACCCGATACGTCAGTATATTTAGTATGTTTTGAGCTATTAAAAGAGGTCATGGTGTCTCTCAGACATGAGGGTGTAGTTACAGTGGTGTTTTTTTATATGTGAAGGTTTCAGAAAAGGCTTCAGAGATGTCTCAAGAAAACGCCATCTTAACACATGCACAAAGGTTTGGTAAATTGGTTGAAGACAGTTTGAGTTTGCATGCAAATTCCCTGTCTTCTGTTCTGTCATAGTAACAAGAAAGCAACAAAGTGATTGTGTCTTACAGTCAGTCTCTGGGTGTCTCTGAGTCGCCTGAGTACAATTAGATTACATAAGAAACAACTTTTTTTGGGCACAAAATGATTGACAATGCTCTGTGTCGTTCAAAAAGCCTGAATTGGTTTAATGCCCTGTCAGATGGTGATGGTTACGATATCAGGACGTTGATTTTCTGACAGGGTAAGCTGATTTAGGCACAGAACAAAGAGAGCTTGAACAGCAATATCCAATATGACATGACAGTTGTGGTGGCAGAACATTGGATGGTGGTAATTATACTCCTAAAAGGTCATGGGCTTATATAACAGACCACAATCAGGAGATGAAGAAATGGAGAAACCACAGCGGTGCACAAATCGAAGGTATCAGGTAAAAAAAAAGAAAAAAGTGATCATTTGGAGTCCATTTGTGACTTCTGTTTGATTGGATGAATTCTCACGGGAGCCTGTGTTTATCATTAAAGCAAAGCCCACACAACAGTCACGCTTTTAAAACGCACAGGGCCAATGATAAGAGTTTTCTCCAGTGGATCTCCCATGCTGCCTTTGCGATTACCGTCTCCATGGTCACCGGCGGAGGCAGGATGTGATGTCACGACCTAGTGATTCTTGCCTCTGCCTCACAATCATCCCCAACCCATCCCGTCCCCATAGAGCCATGTGTGTGTGTGTGTGCTTTAGAATGGCCAATGGGGCCTCATTAAAGCACCTGTGGAGCCGTCAATAAGGCTCATGGGTCAGGTGTGGAGCCCTTAAGGAGACCCCAAATCTGTATGTTAATGATGTTAATAATAATAATAATAATTATTGTTATACAATATATATATATATATAATATTTTTTATTATATTAACAACAACAACTCTACTGCCACTAATATTACTAAATTATTATTATATAATTATGAAAATTATGTATTTATATTATATTTATATTTGTATAATAATATTAATAATAACAACTATAATTATTATTATTTATTTTATAATTATTATTATATATTATTTAGTAAAGTTTATAATTATATATAAATATAATTATACAAGTAATAATATAATAATTATTATTTACAATTACATATAATAAATAATAAATAAATGCTTTACTTTATATTAACAATAAAAATTAAAGAACAATATGCATACAATAATAATAAAGAAAATTTAGAAAAATAATATATATATAACAATAATATATGATAAGAACTATATGCACATATATATATATATATATACACACACATATGCAGACTCGTAGATATGGAGATCCAAGGCATTAAATGGAAAAAGGGGTCTTTGGTTACCTGTCAGGGGAGGTGTGGGTGACGGCGTGCGCCCCTCGCTGGAGGCCTTTCTGTCGTCAGCACATTAGAGGAGTCGTGTGAGCTGCCCAGGGGGAGTCATTATCTCTAATGAAGAGTCCTTCCTCTTCTCCTGAGTACTGACTCGCTGGACAAACTCACTGTGCTAAAGGCTTCTCTCTGATTTCCCTCTCATTACCTCTGTGCCCCCTGCGGACCGGCAGTCCCCACTTAACAACCTCTCTGTCTTTCTCATTCTTTCAGCCCTTTTATTCACCTGTGGGATTCTCAGTGTTTCATGATTTTTCTGTCTTTCATTTCGTTAAATTGCTATTTTTGTGGGAAACCCAACTTTTTAAAAATCCCCCATAGAACCAAGGATGATATCGTTAACACATACTAATACTGTTTAAACATTTTTGCAAATTCAGTACATTCTGAAATAATAATAAAAAAATATCAATTAAAAAATGTAAACTAAATGAAAATTAGAAATATTGCATTGGCAACAAATTGAAATAACTAGTTGAAGTAAGAAGCAATTATTTCACACTTATGATGTAGGCTATTCATTGGAATGGATTCTATTTCAAATAACATTTATTTTATTTTATATAGCCTAATTTTATTGGGAGTTAAGTTTATATAAGTAATCTTACATTTCATGTATTTCAATGCCTGTAACCTTTTGATAAGTTATTAGTTTTTCAATCCCTCTTGTGGATTGAGTAAACGGTGCTTCCAGCGGTCAACTGTTAATAATGTAATTAGTTCAGTGCAGTGTGGTTATGTGGCCTGCGAGAGGAGCTGTCCGTTCAGTTTATACAGCAGCACTTCCTCTGTGTAAACAACACAGCTGCGTGTTGACCTCATGTGGTTTCTTTTACTCATCCATCCTGAGGCCGTTTTATTGCTCAGAATCATGGAAGCCTCGACGGATTTTAACAGGGAACTTTTTCCCAGCAGAAATTCTTAAAGTAAACACATAAAAACCACATGTCCCCTCAGCAGCCGATAGCGTTTAAACCAGAGCAGGATTTATGTCTGCATTTATTGAAAATGGAGGAGGACTGTGGTATTTTCAATGTCACACACATTTATCTGTGACCTTGAATTCTTCTTGTCTATAAATCACCATTTCTTGCCTAAAACAGCATAAAACGTTTTTCTCTCTTCTGTTCTGTCCAGAGGACAGTCATATTTCATGTAAGTATCAACTGTTTTCAGATGTTTATTATAAAATAAGAGGTGAAGTGACAGTTATAACGTTACAGGGATAAGTTGAATGTAGTTGGCAATGGCATAGCTAGCTAATTTGTGCGTTAATGAGAAATTTTGTGTCTATATTTTACTGCATTATATCTCAGATAAACTGCTGAGAAGCAGCAGACTACAAAATTTAAGTTACCTATGTTTAAGAGAAATCTCCTTTATGATTTTTCTCTTTTCCCTCTTTTGACTCATTCTCATCTGCCTCTCTCACTACGGGGCAAATGCCAAATTCCTAAAATATTCCACTTTTGTATTGAGTAAATTAAAACATCTTCTACTATATCATTATCAAATTACCATAGCATATTCATGAATGATAGGCAAATAACACTGTGAGGGAAATGATTTATGCTTCGTTTATAGGCATGCTGTAATGTGCATCAGGTAAACAACATAAACAAACAATATTATTTTTCTGTTTCATCTGAAAATCAATTTCTGTTCTTTATGTTTGTTTTCGGAAACTCTGTGAGTGTGGTTGTGGCAAACTTGAAATGTGTGGCGAGGAAAAGCGATTTCTGATGAGTCATCATGATTGTTGAAGAAAGGTCTACATCACTCATCTGTCTGTGTTTTGTTCTTTCCCTCCACAGTGGCGAATGAAGCGGGAGAGAGCAGCTCAAGACCTCTGGCACGCTTCGCACGTGAGTATGTGCAATTAGACACGTGATTGAAAGCTGTTGACTTCACTTTTACTTTAGAATTGTTTCCTGCACAGTGAGGAAACAGGTATGAGTGTGACACAGTAAAGTTCACAGTCTTCACAATCCCACGGGTCTGTGATCATAACAGCAATGAGAGGTGTTAGAAATCATTCATGTTGTCTGTGTGCCATCTGAAGGCTAGGCTAGGCACTGAAATTATGCTTACTTCATCCTGCCATGTTTGTTCATGGACACTCAGTTTCGTAAATATTTATTTGACCTAATCACCAGAGCTGTCTGTATATCTATTTCATATATTTCTATTGTCTACCTGTCTGTCTGTCTTACTATCTGTTTGTGTCTAATAATGATATTATAATATACAATAATATTAAAGGGATACTTCAGGATTTAGCATTAAGCTTTGTATTAGTAGGAAACCTGTAGTATTTTTAAATCGCCGTGCTTTCCACCCTCATATCCCCCTGAGACGAGAGATTTGTGTATTTTTTGTCTGGAAAAAATCCTCCGATGACGCAAAAATCGTCATTTTGCGCCATCGGAGGATTTTTTGGCCAGAGGCTAAAGACTACAGCCAGTAGTAGGGGCTGTCCCGCATGTTCTCATCCCGCCCATAGAGGGTGGGATCTCACTCACAGAATGTACACATAGTGTCAGACATCTCTTTTTGGAAGCTAAGCTAGCAGGCTCTTGTTCTGTGGAGAAAGCTGAGTAGTAGGGGTTACCATCCTCTTTTTCCTGGACATGTCCGGCCGTCGAGATCGTACAAAATGTCCTGGGTTCAGCTTTTGCTTTCTGCAGTCGCCATTCATTGTTTACATGCACACCTTTTGTTTCAATCTAACTGAATTCATTCCGATTGGTGAATCTGAATGTAGTGTTTACATGAACGCTAAACAAGTGATCGGTTGATGTGTGTTTTAACATTGCTAAGAAAATTCCCGCTCCTCCGTGAGAGATACGAGACCGGTGCGTCTCACAGGTGTCGCTCGTCATCAGTAATCACGCCACCGGCCTCGCGGCGTTCTCCCGCGGCCCTCAGTCTCGTCCTGCTCGCCACAGTAAACATAATTAATGGCGACTGTAGAACGATCTCGAAATCCCGGGCAGACTCATCACGGAGACTCACTAGTAGCCTAGACTTGTCGTTTAAAGCAGCACTTGGCAACTTTTTCAACTTAATAAATCCATTTAGAAATCATTTGGATGTTTAAATAACCTGTTCTGGTGAGAATGGTGACTTTCCCCGCTCCCCCCAGCCTTCCCAGGCGGAAAACCAGCCTTGCAACATAGGGACTACCGTCCCGGTAAGTTGGAAATAGGAAGTCTCGTGAGAAGCGAGAAAGAGCGAGTAACACGAACTGTTTTACGGCAATTAGAAACACACACACCTCCATCTCGGTAGACATAGCTCCACACGATAAAGTTAGAGTGTCTGGGACTCATTTGTTCAACACACCGGATCCGACAATAACAAAAGCACATGAGCGCGTCTACGGTAGAAAGGGGAGGAGGAAGCCGCAAGTGAATTTAAGACAGTGTTGTGAAATATTCACACCACAGCTGTAGGGGGAGCTCGTTGAGAAAACATGCGACAAGAAAAGTGAAAATCAGCGAATAAGTGGCTAGAGTTACCGAATGCCCCTTTAACTACTGCGCTCTGTTACCGGTAGGCGTGGCCTCCTAGGCCAGCGAAGCAAGTGCATTCTGGGAGTTGTTGTCTTTCATCCACATAAGCTAAAAATACATTTTCTGGCTTTTCTCAGTCTAGAAAGCTCCAAATTCAAAAATAATTTCACATTTCTTCTACATAAATGACCCATTTTAAATACACATTCATCTTTCCAGAGGTGAAGTATCCCTTTAAGTGTCTATCCATCCACCCATAAACCCATCCATCCATCTGCAAACCCATTCATCCATCCATCCATCCATCTACAAACCCATCCATCCATCCACTTACAAACCCAACCAACCATCCATCCATCCATCCACTTACAAACCCAACCAACCATCCATCCATCCATACACTTACAAACCCAACCAACCATCCATCCATCTACTTACAAACCCAACCAACCATCCATCCATCCATACACTTACAAAGCCATCCATCCATCAACCCATCCATCCATCTACAGTACAACCCCATCCATCCATCCATACACTTACAAACTTTACCTTTCTTGTTTAAAATGACAGTAATATGAACTTTTTTTTATTTAAATTCATTTTACTTCTAATTTATTACATTCAAATTCAAATTTCAGTTCTTCCTCCTGTTCACTACCTCAATTAAAAAAATGTTTACATTTAAATTTACATTAAATTCTGGTGCACAACCAACCCTACAGTCAATGAATAAATATATATTTTTGCCCTCTTAATGGTGCAGTTACAGCATCTACCAGCAGGGACTGTCTACCCAAAGTAACCAGCCAAACCGTTACCTCTCGACTACATGTTGGCAGAACAGAAAAATGACACAACATTTTTCTTCCTCAATCTTTCTATCTCTCTATCTCTCTGTCTGCTTTTCACTCTGCCCCAGTCTTGCATTCTGTCGTCTACACCCCTCTGAGCTTTTGATCTCTGATTGTTGCATTAGGTTCCAAGTCACAGAATGCTTTGTGGAACGCCATCACAGCAGGCATCGGGATCAAGGACAAAGACAAGCGGGGTATCCTGATTGACCCGCGGAGTCCAGAGGAGATTCTAGCTGATGACCTGCCCTCTGTCGACAGTCCCGATGCCATGGAGAAGACCGCCATAAGGTTTGGAGGGAATCACACATCTCACTAACACCTCTTAGTGAATCGATCAATCGATCTGTGCTGATATCTGCTCTCGATCAATCAGTCCAATCCACTTCCTTTACCAGCTCTAAAAGCACTGTAGGGTCAAACTGGTGAATGGACATGCTCAGATAGCAGGAATTATACAGTGATTATGTCGCATAAAGTGATTTGTGTTTGTGTTTTCTGCTTATAAGCACAGCTGGCAGGCCTATACAAGATTATTGATTTTTTTTAGAGCTATGGTGTCAAACCATCACTTCTGTTTCAGATCACAGCAGGCATTCCAGTAGTAAAAGACTACAGTCTTAAAAAAGGTTCTAGCTCTAACCAAAAGGCTTTTAGATCACGATGAAGGATCTTTCAGCATTAATGTGATGATATTTTTTTTAACGACAAAAGAAAATCTTACTGACTGTTTAAAAAGCATCCTAGAAATGTATTATTATGATTTTTGTTTAAATTCTGATTGAGTTGGTGTGTCCAGACTTTTGAAAAAAACACTTCTTGACCATACTTTTTATTTTATTTGGAAAAAAAATCTGAATCACATATTTAAATTTTTACAGTTGTTCGTAAGGTACAATTTTATCCCTTTTTTTCAATGCCGTAAACCCCAGTTTCACAGCAATTCAGTTAACCATCCTAATCCATTCCATGTATCCCGAACGGATTTCACATGGACGTCAGACGCATAAATCCTGTCATTGTGGCCTTCTGAAAGTGTATGACAGGAAAATAAATGATGAAACCGTGTGATATGTGGACTCAGCTGTCTGCTGGTGCGACCGGCTGTGTTAAACAGGGAGTCTCCAGTGGACTGTGATGTTCTGTATAGCGAGCAGCTCCTCATTAATCACCCTGTGAGAGGAAGGCAGGGGAGAACCGTATGGCATTAGTCCTGACGTCAGCACCAGGCATCGGCTGCTATAAATATCCACTGTAAATCTGTGCTCCAGTGAATCCGTAATGTTCTATTAGTGTGTTATTGTGCACTTGGGGTGCTTGGGAAGGCACATTTGGCAGGTATAGGGTGATGGGTTGCAGGTGAGAGAGTCTCCCCTTCCAGCTGAGAAGTAACCAGTCTGAACATGGCATGATGGGATAGCACAATGTGCCAAGCCAAAGCCCACCTCCTTGTCATCAGATGTCCCATAGAGAGAATTTAACCCTTCACCAGAGAGATGCATACAACATATAGAATGACCAAAATGAACAATTAATAAGATAGCTCACCCAAACATAATATCTGTTCATAGTGGCCACAATTGTCACAAAAACTAATTCACTGATAATCTTGTCCTTTTGAGAATCATATCAGCCTGATTCAAGAGAACATATTTAAAGTTTTAATAGAACTGGTCCAAAGAAATAAGTAGTCTTAAAGTCCCCCTGTAGTCAATAATTTTATGAGCCCCGCCTCCACTCACTCACACCAGCTAAGAGATCCACTCGTTGACCTGATTGGTTACAAGATAGTTTGTGACGTGAGAAACACCAGCGATTTCACACCGCAGTTTTTGAGAAGGTTCTTTGGTTCACCGCAGTTTTAAGGAGAAAATACTCAGCAATGGTGTCGACTTATGAATTTGCACATGGTTTGTCTTAAAGCATATTAAAAACACCACATAGACGTATAAACAAACATTAAAAGCTTGATTTTTTTTACCACAGGTGGACTTTAAGAGACTCATGTGTAACCCAGATGGGTTTTGCCTTATTCTCCTTAAATTCTCCTTATTCGCGGCTCCCTTTTTGTGTTCACGTTGTCGCGAGACTTCGTGAAGTATCGCGAGACTTGAGATGGAGTGTTGCGTCATTTCCTTTAAATACGGCCGCGCGCTGTTGTTTTGGTATGTGTGTGCGCGAGCTGTGTGTTGAGCTGCTGCAGGTAGGCGTTTAGCCCTGTAAAACATTTTATTAATTAAACTGCTGGTTTATCTATCATGTATGCCAATCTTTTAGATTGCCTCTACCGTTGCAAATGACTGCTGTTGAGTGACTTAATGATGTGGGAACTGGTGAATTGTCATTGTTTGTTATATGGTGCTAAAAGTGTGTTGTATGTGTATATGGTTCTGTTAGCCAGTGCTGGCGCTGGCTCTGCTTAATCATACTGAGTCTGACTATATATATATACTTTGTGCTTATTTAAATGAGCAAAACATTAATAATTAATCTTAATATTGTTGAATTATGAAGTTATCAACTATTCTTTGATTCTGAAATGTATTTTGAAGTTATTTATTGATATTGTCTATTTATAAGAGTATTCTTGCTGATTGTTAAATTATTTATTGCTATATGCAGTATTTATATTGAATCATGTACATGATGAAACGAATGAACTGAGATAATGATTATGATAATATGATGACTTTATTATATTATGGTGATTAGTTGTGATGCTTGGAACCAGAATGATGTATTAATTGGTCCTGTTTGTACAGGCCAGGTTCTGTGCATTGATGGCGAGCCACTAGGCCCAACCCTGATGCGTTGGAGTGCATGCATCTACCGGTGTGGTAGGAGGTGCTGCAGCTGCTAACTTTGCTACATCTGCGCACACACCCTCAGAGACATTTTCACACACTTTTGGACACTTTATACATCTATATATTGGTACTGATCTTATGAACTGTTCCATCCTGGACTCTTTGGACTCTGTCCGTCTCGTGGTTGTGTCTCGGCGGCTTCAAGCACCTTTTTATGATTGAGTGAATTCTGAAATTGTTGTATGCTCATCATTAATAACTTTGAACTGAATACCTCCTATGTGCACGTGTAAATATTGTAAATACTTGTTGTCTTATATGTAATACAATTCACAATTGCACTGCAGTCCTGACTCTTGTGTATCATTGAACTCTACCATTTCCTCCCTGAGCCAAACTAAGATCTTCTGATACTGGTCCACTAATTTATTTATATTTGCAGCACTTATATATATGCTACATAACTTTGGCGAGCCAGCCAGGAGGAATTGGTGAGTTTAATGTACATTTGAGGTATTGATTTGGGTTTATTGCAGTTCAGTAACAATAATGGATGTGTTTTTGAAACGTGGTATCAAATTACCAAATGCTGTGCTGTTGGAGGGCATAACAGAACCAGAAAGTGATGAAGTCATTGAGTTTTTGAGCCAATATGGTTCAGTCAATGAGATTGAGAAAATTTCTGAGACTGAATCTGAGTATGATGGTGTGCTTGTTGTTGAATTTACTAGTGGTGCAGCTTTGGAAGCGCTACGTCCCATTTTGCCGTACACATGGGTCTCGGCTAAAAAGACACATAGATGTTGCATTTTGGAGCTATCTTCTGTTTGTACAGATCACTTTGCTAAAGCTAAAACTATGTTGTATTTGTCTGATTTACAGAATTTAGCCAAATTAACTGGGGTGGATTACACAGAAGTGCTCAAAACAATGATGTCTCAGATTGGACTTTCGGTCTCCAAGCTCCGCTCTGAGCCTCATGTGGAAGACCCACCAAGTATTGAGTTGCCCACGCTGCTAGAGCCATCAGTGAAGCCATTAACTCGGGCTCCATCAGTCATTCCTGTTCCCCTTGTGGATACTGCTGCTCCCAGGTCAGTCACTGAGCTCCGCATTGATCCTTCTGCTCCTACGCAGCCGGGGATGAGACATTCAACTGCCAGCATTGACGTCCATCCACCTGAGGTCCAGCGCTACGTAGTAGAGCACATTGTAAAAAATGAGGAGAGTGCAGCACATCACCAGAGGATCAGGGTTTTCTCAGGTCGGCTTCCCAGGCCTACTCATGAGGCTGACTACGACACCTGGCGGTCAGGGGTAGAACTGCTGTTGAAGGATTCATCTGTGTCCGACCTCCATCGCTCCAGGAGGATAGTGGAGAGCCTCCTTCCTCCAGCAGCAGATATGGTCAAGCAATTGAGTTCCAGCACACTGCCTATAGTGTATCTAGACACTCTTGACTCTGCATATGCTACTGTTCAAGATGGGGATGAACTGTTTGCTAGATTCATGGACACATTTCAGGATACCGGTGAGAAACCATCTGCCTATCTCCAACGGCTCCAGGTTGTCCTGAACTCCGCCATGAAGAGGGGAGGAGTCATAGGGTCTGAACTAAATCGACATTTGTTGAACCAGTTCTGTCGTGGATGCTGGGACAATTCTTTGATCGCTGAGCTTCAGCTAAAACAAAAGAAGACTTGTCCACCCACTTTTGCTGAGCTGCTGCTCCTCTTGCGCACTGAAGAGGACAGAGAGGCAGCAAAGGCACATCGAATGAAGCAATATTTGGGGTCTACACGGCAGAAAGCTGCATCTCATGCCCAGTTTGCTCGTGTTAACCCTGAAGATGGGGCTACAGTTACCGCTTTGGTTAACATCACCCAGCAACTGACTCAACAACTAGCTGACGTCCAGCGACAGTTAGCCATGCTAACGACCAGCCAGTCAAAGACCAGTGCTATTCCCAAGACTTCCACCTATAGTAAGCCACATGCCAGGGCCACCAATCAGCAGCTTCGTCGATCCACACCTACTCAGGCCAAACCTGGTTATTGTTTTCGGTGTGGTGAGGATGGCCACATCCGTCCCCAGTGTGAGAATGAACCCAATTCTACCCTGGTTGCTCGTAAAAGGAAACAGTTCACTAGCAACCAACAAAACACTTCCAACTCCGTCCATTTAAACTGAGTCCGGTTCCTGTTGTGGGACAGACAGGGGCCAGAGGGGACCAAATCCGTCCCAGGGAAAGAAAGAAGATTGTCAAGTGTGTAGAAGTGTCACAGCCCCAGATAAAGAATGCAAACATACAGCTTCCAAAGGGCCTGGTAGGCTCAAAATGTTCTGCAGTCGTCCAGATTGCTGGACAGAACTACCATTGTCTTTTGGATACTGGCTCGCAGGTCACTACGATTCCAGTCTCTTTTTACAACCAGAGTCTCAGCGATCACTCTGTGAAGCCACTTTACGACTTACTCCAGGTAG